AATATAGATGTAATAAAACAGAGAAAAGTCTTTCTTATATCAGATATTTATTTAAACAATTTAGACGACACATCGATTAAGGATGCATTTTATTTTGATTTACAGATTTTCGTTAATAAATATTTTTGTATTTTTAATAGTAAAAGAATAACATAAACAAGTTAAAGTATATATACAGACACATAAAAACTTATTAAACTAACTAGAACGTTTAGGATCAAGGGAAAATAAATCAAAAAACAATAATGAAAATTTTAGGCTTACATTGTTTTGACAAAATAACGTCTTGATACGTGATTCTTTCAGCGTATTTTGCTCTAATTAATTTATTTACAAATATGTTGACGTGGATGGTGTTTAATGAACAAAACATCCAGTGATTTTTATTTCATTTTATTTTTTAATCATCATCACATGCAAGAGTTGTAAAAAAATAAAATTATTATCCCTCAATCCTTATACAATCTTACTTTGTAACAAATTCCCTATGTTTTGTATTGAATAAGGCCATACATATAATTATATACATATAAATTATTTGATTTTTACAATAATTCCATTTGGTTTACTTTGTTAGTTATAATGTCTTGGCAGTAAGTTAAAAAATATAAAATGCAAGACTATAATACAAGTTAAAAGATTCGAAATTTTATTGTCTGAACTAAAAATCGTTGACTACAGAAATTATTAGGCAAATCAATTATTTTCTTCTATTAAGTTTATTTAAGCCTCCCCTACACGTAACATTTTACGTGTCAGGTAAGATGGATTAAACACTAGCAAATACACTGGAAATTTTACTTGCGCTGATTGGAAATACTCTTTATGGAATGAACGATTAATGGCAAACGACCAAGAAGAATGTCTCCGATGTGCTGGTGAGGTAAACCATTATGTGTAGGAGGTGCTTTATTTTAAATAACACTAGTTAATATTTTCTAGAATGTAGTTTTAATGTTTATAGATTTGTTTTTTATTTAATTGAGTATTACATTTAAATTATAAGATTTCGTTGTCTAATTTGTTTAATTTTTCTAATAAAATTATATTTTTTTATTTTAAGCTAGATATTATAGAAAAATGCCTAATAATAATTAAAAAAAACAGATCTATAAACATTTATTTACCTACCAAATAAAATTGTTTCAGATTGAAAAAAACACATATTAAAAACTCTTTAGGTATGTACAATTTGGTTAATAATTTGATTATTTTTTTTTGATTATTAAAATTAATACTTAGGTCGTTGAAAACATCGAAAAGAAGTTGTTTATTTATATATTTTTGATTGTTGGTTTACTTAATTATATACAGATTTAAAACTACCATACGATAAAAAAAAACAGCGTCAAAGACGGCTAGGAATGATCGGCGATGATAATTTTGGCGAAGTCAAGCCCAGGACGTCAATTACTTAACCGGTACTCTTATTTATTTTAATGGGGCTTACTGACAGTTGTGTGTTAATTTTTGAAAAGTTTTATGTCACTTTTTAGTAAACGCTGTTTAGAGATTGACCTCGACAAAATAATCATCGATTGTCATTATCCAACTGTCTTTGACATCGTTTTTTTCGATCAAATGGTATTTTTATTATTATTTTTTAATCTGTATATAATTTACAGCAAACGTTTTAGCTAGAAGTATTTCATAGCTTACTTACAGTTTTATTTATATTTACATTACGTAGCACCTTATTCTGTCATAAAATTTTGCCATAACATTAGTGTAATAATTATTTATTTCGAGCATCAGGGGAACATTATATAAATTAAAAAATATACAGAGAAAAAAAAAGTGATAAAAAATAAGATATTATAAAACTGTTCTTAAACTATAATTCCATATATCAATTAATGCATTGCAGTTGTATACGTTGCAGTTAAAAAAAATGCAATATGCCACTTAAATGTCAGTACCAAATAAAACATATGATCGAAAAATAAACGTCAGAATAGGCTTGGAAATGAAGATCGCTGTCATTTTATATGTAAAAATATACGGTAAGCTTATTTTCCCAGTCAACCTGACGTTTTTTTTCGAACAAACGATATATTTGTCAGTACTTTGGATGAATGTGTCACTAATATGGCATGGAAAATTTATAGTTTACTATATTTCCACCCTATATTTTGTGATTTATTTTCAATCAAAGAAAATTAATAAACCTATCAATCATATATCCATTTTTTATCAGATTTTTTTAAAATAACAAATAAATAAAATAGATATTACAAACATTTAACTTGGCTATTAATCAATTCTGGTACAATTCCCAATTCTTTTTTTTATATAAAGGCTGTAAATATGCAAAATACAAGTTATGCAAAATATAGGAAACGATTTATATCAACAATCAATTACGTATAAAATTTATGATAAAACAAGTAACAAGAAAAAATTACCTAGGACAAGTTTTACAAACTAACAATTCCGTAATGTAGGATATAATATTATAATGTTTAACTTAATATATTATGTAGGTATGTATGTATGTACCGTAATAATCGAATTTGAAAATGACATCGCAAGTGACTTTTGGAGTACAGAAATAACATTTCTATTCGAGCTATAAATTGATTGGGATGCCTTTGATTGGGATTTTTCATAGTAAAAACTCTACAACATAAAATGTATAAAAATATATAATCTAAAACAGTTATTTCTTATTTATGTAAATTAATGTTGTCTTTTAAATTGTACAGGGTGTCCCATTTTAGTTTACATCATACGGTGTCTCCGCTATTAGTGAAGATAGATGAGTGCGGTTTGCACCAACCTGCCCCACTTTTTTGTCAAACGCAAGATGCTGTCAACAAAATTTTCATAGCCCTCTTCGTTTCTGAGCTACAGGGTCGTTTTGAAAATTTTCTAATTTGGTACACCCACTGTATCTGTGTTATTGTTAAAGGTATCGAGAAGGTGAAAACTGTTTATTGTAGAACTTTTTACGTAGAATACAGTAGCGTAGTCTGTTATTCTACGAAAATAATATTTTTAAAGATATGAACTAAAGTTATGTTTTCTTAAATGTATATTATTACTTGTATATTTATAAATTATATGATCTGACTTGCCATAAGCTTCTCAAAAATATATATTACTCTATATTTATTTTCCTATTTACTAATATATGATATATTTGCCATAAGCTTCTCAAAATATATATATCTATATTTATATACATATTTTCACTATTTACTGCAATATTTAAAAGTTTTATCAAAAGATCATATTTATTAGTAGGCCATGATTGATAATAACAGAAACTAAATATTATTATTAAAAGTCTTTACATATATATATTAAATTTTTTATAGATTGGAACCAATGGACCGATATGATGGCCTCCCTGATTCCTGGATTTGTTCATTTTTTGGTCCAATTGGATTTCTGATTTCTGGATTTTGAAATATGAAATATATCGTGAAAACTACAGCAATGTCGAACACCTGGAAAATTATTTAATAATGCAACCTCATAAGATGCGTTCACACAGGAGGCGGCGCTCCGCGCCGCGCCTGTCTGACATTTTTTTAACATGTTTTGAAGTGTATTTTTTTAGAGCGCACAAAAGTATATGTTAAAAAAATTATTTGCGCGGCGCGGCGCTGAGCGGAGCAGCCGGTGTGAACGCACCTTTAGATATTTGCAAACCCTTTCCCGTTATAATAAATTCCGTGATAAAAAAAAGATATTCTGTGGTAACAATTCAAGAGTAAAATATATCAATCCCAAATAAAATTTTAATATCAATATTGGATTTTAGAGAAATCGATCTTAACCTAACTGAAGAATGGAGTAAAATTTTAATATGTATGTGTCTGACTAGGTCTATTAGTAAATACCGTTATGATTTTTTTCTTATTTATCACGGCCTACTAATAAAAAAATGATATATTTTAAATATTGAAAAGAAATATAGACTGATATATATTTTTGAGGAGCTCATAGCAAGAGGGATCATATGATTTATAAATATGCGGTGTGTTCCATTTGAAAAAACATAAATTTGGTTCATATTTCCAAAAAAAATTGTAGAAAAACAGACTACGGCGCTGTATTCTACGTAAAAAGTTCTACAATAATCAGTTTTCATCTTCTCGATACCATCCTCAATGACGGAGATACGGGGGCTGTCCCAAATTAATTTGCAAAATTTTCGAAAATACCCTGTAGCTCAAAAACGAAGAGGGCTATGAAAATTTTGTTTACCGCATCTTTCGTTTGACAAAAAAAGTGAGAAAGGTCTGTGCAAACCGCATCCTCGTATCTTTACTAATAACACAAATACCGTATAATTTCAACCAAAATATCACACCCTGTACATATTACGTTTTAACCTTTAATAAGGAATTATAATAACTCATAATAAGCTATCAGTATCCCTGATAGAAGTTTAAAAATTTGAGTAAATCCCGAATTAAAATGTTATTGCTATGCCTACCACGACGACATTTTCATCGATTACAATGACATGGTAACGATATAAATAAATGTGTCAATTTATGACAATAAATATTATGACAATCACAGTGCGATTTCATTCAATTCTCATTATAAATGTATAATGAGAATCGAATTGTCAATCATTTGAAATTAATTTTCAGTCAGATATGATAAAACAGTATTTCCAAAATATTATCCAAACAATTTAATATTACCTAGTAATATAGTTATTGTCCAAGATGCATACTTTTACGTATATTTAGACACTCCCAATTACTATAGTGGGTGTTTCAAACTAGAGCCCCATCATTGAGATCTCGGAAGCTAGAAGAGATACGAGATCGGTTAAATCGAGGGTTAAATGGAGGCAAAATTGCCTAATTTGATGCTGATCAAAATGCCCCCTTAAAAGTTTAAAAATTCTGAACTCCCGAAGAATTTTGAAAAAAAAAGTATATTCGCGATTTTATTTTTATTTTTTTATGACTCAAATTTTTTGATTTCTGTAAAAGTCAAATGTTAAAGTGCTTAGGAAAACATAGGAGATCTCATTTAAATTTTCGGAATATCGGTTCTTAAAATATCTTCAAAAATCTATCGTTCAAAACGCAGAATATTTGGACCCCGTATACAGTTTACACTGTATACAGTTTCCTAAAAAATATCATGAAAATTGGGATAAAAATATATAAAACATAATACTTTAAATTTGACGAAAAATGTTTCCTTTGCGTTTCTTATGCTGAGTGTATTTTTGTGTAACTTATGTATATTCGTTCAAAGTCAACAACTCCATTCGTTACATAAAACAGTCTGTTTTCCAATTAGCTGCATAATAACTATTATATTACGCATCTTGGACATTAACCAATAAAACATAATACCTTTTCTCCAACAAAAACAAATATAAAATTACGTACATATAATAGGTATATACCTATGTATCATTATCAACTAATATTTTACAACAGTGCCTAGTGTATAGAACACATCTGACACTCATACGGATATCTCCTGTATCTGTACCCGTTTCTTCATGGTGCCCGGCGTGGTGGGCACCCCGTGGGACCGCAGTATCCCTGGCTGGTTGTAGGCACAAGCGGGCGGCTGCCCCTTGGGTGGGGGAGGTGGTTCTGGAATGGTAGGGCTTGTGGCTGTCGTGGTACTGCTACTGTGCTGCTGGTGGTCGGGGTTGTTTATGGTGCTGGTGACGTCAGGTGGCATAACGTGCGGGTTACCTAGAGAAAATATATTTATTTACTTCATATACGCTAGAGTAGTGATGGGTATTAACGATTCTTTTTGGGTGAATTGAATTACACGATTCAATTTCTCATAATGAATCGACTCTTAAGATTCGTTCATTTGAAGAAACTATAAACACATTTTCGCGTATCACAGTGTAAATAGATAATTAATTTGTAAATTTAAAAAATAGATTTTTTTTGGAAAAATAGATATTCCAAAACAAATTTTCAAAATAAATAAAACCTTTTTTTTTAAATTAAATTAGGTCTGGTTATTTCTAAACACTGGACTGGGATAAAAATGTTGTCGTTTACTACATTTCAAGCAGACAATGAACCGAGAGAACATTATAAATCTAGATATAGTTTATATTGGCCGGGGAGGGGGGGGGCATTGACAACGTCATTCATAAAATAATTTGTAAGGTAGGCAACTTTATATACACTTGTATCAGAGTACGTAGATCGCCGAGTAGCGACAGAAACCGTCGGCTCTTTTGATGTGGTGGAACCAAATTTTCTTTCTCTCTCTTTTGACGTGTTTGACAGATAGACTACGTATTTAACTGCTCAACTTATGAAGTGGTCCTATAAACATGGTATACACTGCTCACAATTTGCAGTGGAATAAATTATAAAGTTTTATACATATCTTTTTTGTTTTGTTTTATCCTTATTTCTAAATTTGAATGTATAAAATATCTTACTGCTAATAAATAAGTAAAAAAACGATTCGTTGCCTGAGGTATACTTGAAATAAAGTATATAGAGATATTTGATAAATGGCAACAGTGGCAACTTTGCTTCTTCGTATGACAGATAACCTACTTATTTCGCGCAGCCGCAAAGAAAATTGAAAACGGGACTGTCGCTACTCGTCGGTTTAGGTACTCTGATTGTATTTGGTAGTTTACTGACAGACAATAAAAAAGTGGCGGTTTTTGTCTTTGTCTAGACACCAGCGTGTTATTATTGTAATTTGTAATATTGTTTATTAGTTGAGAATCAATATACCTAATTGATTAAGAAATATCGAGGGGGAATACATATGACGTATTTTTTGAACAACCCCGACCCACCCCTTAGGCGGCACCCCTACAGGGCCTGTTTACAAAAGTTTGTGGAAAAATTGTTTGTATATTCCGATAAGATCTATTTTGGAAATACCATTTTACAATTTGAATTTTCTCACGAACTTCGTAAACATCCATTATTTTACTTAAAAAATAAATTTTACACGAGAACTGTCGCGAGAACTATGTATTCGTTTTGGCTATTAAAACACGAATAAATACAAATTCTGAAACATTCTTATCACATATCTACCTATTTTTATTTTATCGCATTTTTTCGCCTGCTTTTTATCCGGCGGACGGGTATACGCTAATTCGTCCGGTTCTGCCTATGTTACTACTACGGTGGTCCGGTCTGTATATGTATTTATATTTTAGTTACATTATTATTTAAGTGTCTTTTAAATCCTACCGTGGAAAATTTGTGTAAAGAACATTGACTGGATTTTTAGTGAAATGGCACTAAACCACCTTTTTGAACCACCTTTCACCACCACGTTTGAAAATGTTAGGGTAGGTTTCATTTTACCATAATTTCTATTTATTTTTAGATTTATTTTCCTTTAACTAAACGTACAAGTACCTTGTAAGAAACCAATTAAATTTGATCGCGTCTTAAAAAAATCGACGCAATATTTTTAGATATTCACCTTCCTACAATAATAACCACGAGCCACCACTGCATAATGGGAAATGGTTGAATAAGCTGAGAATGATGATGGTGATGATACTGTGTGTTGCAATTTCTATGCCACACAGTAAAAAAATGGCAGTAAACCAATTTAGTTTTTTGCTTTTTAATGGTTAAGATGCTTTTTAATGGTTAATGGTTTTCTCTATGAATGAAATAAAAATTGAAAAAAAGTTTTAAAAAATTGGATTACTAAAACGAAAGGAAATAGAGCTCTTTTGTGTTAAAATTGTTGAAAGGGTTGAAAAATCGAAAGTTTATTAGTGACGGGAAGAGAATTTAATAAACGCCGGGCCCGGAAATTTTCAACATGGAAATCCGGAACGCCTGTCACTAGTCCGGACGATATATGCATTTTAATATTAAGTTTCAGGTAGATTTATCCCAGTTTTCCGTCGTAATTTTTATTATATCATATCTCCCAAGAAGGCCCAAGTTCTAAAAGCATTACCCTTGAAAATTATCGTATTGAAATATTACATCAAATTATCTAAGTTATTATTTGAATCATTTAAAACACAACGTTGATTTAGTATTCAAATTTTTCAAGTAAAAGTAATCTTAAGTTAATGCTTTAAAAGTAAACTTAAGTTAAAATCTTTAATGAAGAATTTGACAGTGTAATATTCAATATATTTTATAAAATATTGTATATTACACTTTTCAAATTCAGTTTTACTTCATGAATAGTGAAAACGAAAACACACAGTTAAAGTAAAAAGACAATTAAAGTAAAAAAATATTTTAATTTTAATACTGAATCATTGTCTACCGCAGTTAAAGAAACGTTTACTTATTCCTTCGAAACAAAAACTTATTCAAGTTTAAATAGATACATAATTAAAGTTGTTTAAATAAATCTCTGTGCTTAAAAAGACACAGATACAGAGAATTCTATTTGTTAAGACCCAATAAACTCACCACAAAGATATAGAGACCGTCCTTATCTAACTCTTACCACGAATTCTTAAGACAATGTAAGCACTGTTTTCGATTCAGCCTCCTTTCCAGATAACAACAGGGCCGTATTGTTTCGTTTTTCCAGCAAGTTTGGCTCGCAGGTATTATCTCCACCAAGCGGGCTTATTTAACGTAGTCCAGGATAAGATTTATAGATCCCTGGGGAATTGTTTCGGGATTCAAAAGCTGAAACTCGCACCCTCCGTAGTCCCGCGCGTTTTGCTTTACATGTTCGTTAAATTTTAATTCTCCCTACTGTTTGAAAGCGGTTTTTGAGTTATTTTGGTGAAGGTGAACCGTTTTTTTTTGGTTTAAGGTAATATTAATAATGTGTTTTTAACATTTTTATGTATTTTTTGGTTTATAAAACTCATCGTTCGTAATATTTTTAGGACTATATTAGAAAAAAAAAAACGTTGTTCTCTATTATTCGATGATATCTTTATCGAAGGCACCACTACACGCGCGCTTTGATATTTAGACTGAATCGAGGGATTGTACAGAGTGGGTCAAATTCGACGCTTTTAAAGAGAAACACCCTTTTCTATATGGAGATAGACGAAAACTAATATCGGTGTCTGAAGCTCAATTTTAATCAAAATCATGATGTTAAAACCGCACATCGATATCTGCTACCGTTTCAGAGTTACTGGGTGTTTTTAAAAAATCATTAAACTTACAGCATTTTTAACAAATCGCTGTAACTTTTTTGCTATGAAAAATGTATTTTTATGAAAACATTTCCAAAGCACCCTTTTACGTAGAATTTAATGGTTTAAGTATAACTTTTTTTAAATTAATAATTTAAGAATTACCAATAGAAAATTTGATTTTTTATATGGGACACCCTATATATTTCTAAATCATTGAAAATCATTTAAAATTACCTTTCCAAAAATATAGCACACTTGATATTTTGCTCGATTCCTCTTCGAGATATAGAGTTTATAAAATTCGCTCACTTTGAATAAGTAGTAGGCTTTGAACGGCACCGGCTATAATGCAAAAAAATTCTAGCTGTTAGCAGCAATTAAAACGAAAAGAATATTTGCAATTAGAGATGTAGAATTTTATAACAACAAATATAAACTATATCTAATAACAATAAAAATAAATAGCAACCCAAGACATGAGATTTTGCTACAGGTATTCGACATTCTCAAAATTAGCTACAAAAATTTGCTGATCACTTCAGGGTTCTGAGGCGGTGCCTCGTCTTGCTGGAAAGATATGTTTTCGAGTTCCATTAGGGGCAGATCATGAATAACGACTCCATAGCCTACTAGTTAAAAGTGGCGAACTTTAAAAAATTCTGTATTTCGAAGGAGACTATAACAAAATATCAAGTGTGCTATATTTTTGGAAAGGCAATTTTATGTTCTTTTCAGTTAATTAAAAATATACAGGGCTTCCCAAATAAGAAATCAATTTTTCTGTTGATAACTTTTAAATTATTAATTTTAAAAAAATTAATACTTAAACCATTAAATTCTACGTAAAAAGGTGCTTTGAGAATGTCTTCATAAAAATAGAAAATTTTCCATAGCAAAAAAGTTACAGCGATTTGTTAAAAATGCACATTTTTGAAAAACACTCTGTAACTCCGAAACGGTAACAGATATCGATGTGCGGTTTTCACCATCATGTTTTTGATAAAAATTGAACTCCAGATACCCATATTAGTTTTCGTCTATCTCTTATAGAAAAGGATATTTCCCTTTAAAGGCGTCCAATTTGATCCACCCTGTACAGGTCCTGTGACCCACCCTGCACTGTACACCCAAAACAAATGAGATAATGGAATTTACTCTATCCTTGACTCACTCTGCACAGTCCAAATCTCGCAGATATCGTTGCGTGTAGGACCCTTTTTAGTCACTGCTTTATGTAGCTACGCCTCTGTGCAAATCAAAACTGATACATACAAAAATATATCACCTTCAGGCCTCTTAGCTGGCGGAGGCGACGAACTGAACTCCTGCAAAGGTAACTCGGTCATCTGGACCTCCTCCAAAGATAGTTTGTCCCCGTTGTAGTCCCCCACGAAGTTGGGGACAGTCTCCCGTTTGAAACTGCCTACCCTGGACATGGTGTGGTAGGGGCTCTTGTTGCAATTGAACTGTTGCATTGGCCTGTTGGGGTCGAAGGCTTTGTCGTAGGCTTCAGCCGAGGATGTACTACAGCTACCTGTAATATGGATAATGTATATTTCAATAAGGATATACAGGGCTGTCCCAGGCTGAGCGTGCATTAGAACTTTCTAGAGAATTACAATATCTAGATCGGAGATTTTTTGCACAACACTGTTTCACAACGAAATATATCTATTAAATTATTTTCAATATGGCGGCCATTGCCGCACTTCCGAAATACCAGAAATTGACAGCAATTTTCTTGTTTTAAATGGGTATCCCCATTTTTTATTACATATCTAAATTCTCTGTAAAATTTTACGAATTTTGATATTATACCACAGATTAGGTATACTCTATGCATACAGATAAAAATCTTATCCCTAATTCGTGGTACGAAAATTGTTTTTTATGACGATGTGCAAACAAGTAAAATTTCCTGTGCGCAAAAATAAACTCGCGTAAAATAACAATAAACAGCGTAATAGAGAGATATCGCTAAACCGAATAGCGTGCATGGACGTTAATAAGGCCAGGTGTTATTTCCTTTACGTGAGGTGGTATTAACTCTCTTCATTTATAGTTATCGGATCGGAAAGAATTCTGTTCGCGTCGCGTCCGCTATTTAAACTTAACCTAACTTTGAATTTAAAACTTTGAAATAATTTTGTTTACTAGGTATTTTAAAACTAAAGGGCTAAAGTGCTTATTTCCAGAGCTTCATTGTTCAACGTCTGCCAGTGGGTTTAGGGCAACAAGCAACAAATTCTTTTAAAGGGGCTAAGTCGTCATCTGCTGTAAACCTAAGCCTCTTTATAGGTTCTTTAATATTGGAAGAGGTGGAATCCATATTTTGGGTCATATTTATTTAATTAAAACTAATCCCAGCTACTTAAATATAAAATTACCTAATAAAACTAAAGTAATAATTCAAAACAATTCAAACAGAACTAAAATAAAAGATCTCGCCGTTCGCCGGCCGGCCCCGGTTGTCAAATGTACCCGCACATACCCATTTAAGCAATTTTTAAACGTTATTTAGAAATAGCTGGAAATAGCGCTTGGTGTAATCCTTGGTGATCCGCAAATTACGTCAGGCGGTAACGTTATTAGCGGGTGTTGCGTTAAAAATTGACTCGCGATATCGTAACCATGATAAGGTACGCGTAAATACTGCATGACGCTATTCGGTTTTCCGATATATGTCTAATAACTGTGCCGGTCAGGCGCTGTGCACAATTTTAGAGGCCATAAGTGGGAGTGCTATGTGCGCAAACTAGTAACCTAACTAGTGCCCGATTCCGAAAATTGGAACCACAAAAAACTATAAAGAAAAAACAAAGTTTATAATCTGTATGATCTATGATTATACACTCTACAGGGTTCGGGAATAGTGCGTCGGGTTTGGTTTGGTTGTAAGAAGGGATTTTTCAAAACTCGAATTCTAAGGAGGTGAAACTAAACCCCTCAAATATTAAAATATTTTTTATTTAAAAACCGGTGAGTTTTTCGGAAAAACTCTTAAACACGTATATTTTATTTTGTTGTTTTACATATTTTAAGATTTTTTATAAAATTATACAGGATATTTCATAAAATATGACCATTAAGTAATCACGATTCTGGTTGAACTGTTTGACGTTTAAAGCTGATTTTTGGCAAACGGATTGACTGTGGGGTGTAGAGGTTCGATAAGGAGGGGTTTCTCGAATCTCAAATTCCAAGAGGGTGAAAACGCCCCTCAAGTATTACAATATTTGTTATTTAAAAAAACGGTTAGTCTTTCGGGAAAACGCTTGGACAAGCATAATTTATTTGGTTTTTTACATATTTTTAAATTTTTTAAAAAATCATACAGGGTGTTCCAAAAAGTTGGGTAATTTCTTAACCACGATTTTGCTTAAACTGCTTAACGTAAAAAACTTATTTTTGGTAAACGGATTTTTTGAAAGTCAAATTCCAACGAGATGAAACTACCCCTCAAATATTACCAAGTTATATAATAATATCGCCATATTGTTTTTTCTCATGTTGACATAAATATGAGAAAATTTTATCCAGTTTGTATGTTAATGGAAATTCTTGCTTTGCTTTATCATCACAATTACAAATGACTAATTCGATGCGAACGAAGTCGCTGGTACACGCTAGTTTATATTATAAAATGGCAGCGATCTTCGTTTCATAACCATCGCTGATGTATAAATATTTCAGCTTAAATCCACTTTTTCTTTATCATCTAGGGACATAATCATGTATATTTTCAAAAGTAATTTTAAACCTCGTTAATATCTACTTTTATTAAAAAATAAATGTAACTATATATCGCATTTTGCGTAAAGCAATTCGGCTAATAAAGTTTAAACATTTTTAAAAAGCGTGTTCGTTTTAAATTGGCGCGCTTGAGCTTCCCCAGAAAGCTTTTAGAAGCCATTCAAAGCGGAATATAATTATATAATTTGCAAGAGAAGGAAAATACGAAATTACACATGTATACTCTAAATGTAATATGCAAATAATATTTCTGGAAATTCTGGGTAATCTCCCGGAGGGAATTAATAATTTACGTTGGGGAAAAAATATGTTTTTGAGGTAAATATATTTTTTTATTGTTGACAAAAATCTGTTTAACTTTTTTATTATCTACAGACATTTTAATAATTTTTATTAGGGTTTTTTATTACAAAATATTCTGAAGATATAACCATCGAAACAAAAAATGCTCATTCTATAATCTTTTTTTTTGAAAGGTTTCTTCTATTTGTTTTATTATTTTTTTCTTTATATTTTAATTTTTTTATTTCTAATTTTATTTTTTAAATTATTAATAAAGAGTTTTGTTGATATAAGTTTTTATAATACAAAAGCAATAATTATTTTGTGTTCTACTTAATTTTTAATTTACCTTGTTCATTCAACTCTTCTTTTTGTTTTTGTTTGCTCTTTCCTCTATCCCTTTGGTGATATATTCCAGCGAATATGAGAATATTGAGCAAAAGTAAAAAACATCCCACAGCTATAGTGACTGTCAGTGCTGTCGTGTAGGACTGGTAATGACTAGATGCCAGTTTCCTAAAAATAAATGTTGTAGAATGTATATAAATAATACAACATTTTTTACACAATAAATATCAACTTTAACATTATAACAAGGAAGATGATAATATCATAGTAGAAGGAAAAGAGTAGTTGCACTCTCCCAAATATTTTCTGCCAGTTTTTATAATCTGTCGAATATTGGCAGATTGCAGAGCGTTTCAGTTGAGTTTCGTCCGTCGACCTGCGAGGTTCGAACGTTGCGTCTCAGCCAGACGGATCGACAAAAAATGAGTGCCTTACTTAAACATCAATTTTTTATCGATTTTACTTTTGACAATCATCCCTTGCTTGCTGTTAACGAACTGCACCATCATTGAACAAAGATTTGCTAGTACCGAAAGTACCGAAAAAAAAGACGGAAATCCCGGTTCCTCAAAGGCATGGCACCGAAATTACCGGTTCCGAAAAACAGCTCCGGTTCCGCAAACGCTATAACGTACAATAACCGTGAATCACCATATACAAGGTGAGTCTTAATTAATGCAAATATTTTTAGGGGTAGTATATTTTGGCCTCAGAAATATGAGGATTTTTCTGCTTTTTAGTTTTTAGTTAAAAAACATAATTTCTGGATAATATGGTAATTAGGGTTCAGAACCGGAAATTCTCGGTTTTTTTAAGATATCAAAGAACCGGGACTCGAAATTATTAATTCCTGGTTTTTTCGGTACCTTCGAGACTCGGTAACAATAATTAAAAAATTATTCTTTTATTACGTGAGAAAGTAGTGATGCTATTTCTCATTGTTCTTGCTTCCTTTCTCTTTTGAAATTTCTTTAATGTTTATTAGCAATTATTGAAGTTTAAATATGTTATATTTTATTATTTATTACAATGTGTTGTTCAGTGTATTAGTTATCCAATGAAAATATATACTTACATACTATACGATATATTACTACAAAACAAACACTTTAATGTTAAAATTAAACTTGTTTTAAATTAAAAAAAGTTGCAGAAAATCTCTGAATAGATAATAATATAAAAATATGTCATTATACATTTTTTCCGCATTTCTTCCATCAGAAGATTTTCAGATACAAAAGAATTGTTACTTACACGAAATGTGAAAATATTCTGTTTTGAAGCAAATTTTTACTCGATAATCAATTTTTTTATTTTATTTTATTGTGAACTCTTATTATCCTAAATACATCTCTGTGAAACTATGGCGAGTGCCACCACTATACTTTGCCTAGTTATAGACCACGACTATACAGCTACATCAGTGGTCACGGGACGCGAGAACAAGGTCATATAAAGTGACAAAAAAAGAACAAAGAATTTGACAAGGAGCAAAACTACTAGTTTCCTTATAGATACTATGATAATATATAGAAGTATCAGAATCTTGAATTAGACCAAACAGACCGATAGCTACACGCTACACTAAAAATCTAATATAATAACATAAACAAAATTTACATTTCTCACCTTAGCAAATTGTTTGGATTTTTCGTTTGCATTATTATGGTAGTGTTCGGCGGACACTCCGTAGTAGTGGCTTGTAGAGCAGTGTCGGATTTTGGTGGTGGGGGTGTAGGTGCTGTCACCGTTGATGACACGCGAACTGTCACAGTCGGAGGTGGATTCGGATAACTAACATACGGGGGACGTTCCTTAAGTTGAGGTCTTACGGAACCTAGAAAAATAACAAAAAATATTATATTAAAAATATTTTATCCATAGAAAAATTTTGTAAAACTATCATAAACAAATATAGGGTCTTCTGAATTACCTAATAACGGTGTATAATGCTATCCATGTATTATTGACAGAATCAGATTAATGAACCTCCATTTTGACAGTTCTGTTTGACGTTTCAATTGACACATGTGAATTTGATTGATATTTGATATTCAAATTCAAATGCGTCCGACTGGTCGACCCAATCAGTACTTAAAATTCTACAAAAAGCTGAATGCATGACGTACACCCTAGCTTCATGATTTAATTACGTTTCGTGATACTTTATTTATTATTTATCAACGAGTCGTTGTAATTTTCCCTATAGCTTGTAAATTTTTAAGTGCAAGTTCGAAACGCCTGCACTTTTGGTAAAAATAAGTGGAATTGAGTTGGTGTTCGACAGTGGTCGCGCTATTAGAACTCTGAATTCAAAAATCGATATCCTAAAATCCATTAGAAATAATTGATTGTAGTTTTTTTTTCAAAAACTTTCTTAATATCTCTGCTATATTTTCTTTCCAGACAGTATGTGAAAATCTTTATAAATAAAAAAGTTGCTAAAAATTGCTACGCACTTAAAGTAAATGGATAATTTTTTAAAATTTTTGAATGGAAAAAAAAACAAGCCTATCGAATTTTACTTATTTAAACATCTTGTAAAAGATCAGAACTTCAAAATTAAAAAAAAATCATTATCTAAGGTGATTCTTGAGTTATCGCGTGTTATGTGTTAAAAAGTTGAGTTTTTAAATTACCGCGATTTCTGACGTTTTCTCATTATAAAAAGATGGACACCTTAACGATATCCTTATAATTCCATTTAAAATGCTCAGAAACACATCTAATGATTTTATTTAGTTATATTTTCGAAAAAAAAGTCTTTTAAAAATAAGCGGTTTGCGATCGTGATTTCACTTTTCTTGATAGGGAAAGGCGTACCGGAGAAATGTGACAACGCCGCAACAGCACACCGTCGTATTTCTCTCACTCCGACTTAATAAGATCCCTATGCGATTTACTTCCACACATATAAATACCGACCCAAAAGTAAGAGTTGCCAGCATGGTATATTCATTCATTTTAATCGTAAAATGAAAAAAATACTACCCATTTTCAGTTCGGAAAACTTTTAAATCTACAACACAAACTCGACTTTCCAACTAGGTAGTAGTGTTTAGTATAATTATTGCCTTTCTCTTTTTCTTTCTCTTCCCCTCTCTCTCTCTCTCTCTCTCTCTCTCTTCTGCTACCGGCAATTGTTTTCCACTTTGCACAGCCACCGCGAAAATCGCGAAACAATTGAAGCGCGTGGCAGTCGCTTGTTTCGGCGCGAGTCGCGATTCCCTTTTGTTCGTGTCGTTATTTTCGCGGCCGACGAAACAAATGCCGGCTCGGAATATCAACGGCTACTGCGACTGCACATTACAGAGTGATACACTACCCGTATAATGCCGCTGCTAATTAGGGCGTTTTAGAATTTGATCGTATCTTCTTCTTCTTCTTCCTACTCTATATTAGGCAGATTGCCTGTTCATTCTTCACATCATGCCTACAGTTTCAATCGATGGTAAGGTTATCACACCATCTTTTTCTTGGCCTTTCCGTACTTCTTCCCAGTGGTGATTTGTCTCGAGCTGACCTTACTATTCTTCCCTCGTCTATTCGGCTTATATCTTCATTCCATTCGCGTCTTCTGCTCAATACCCATTCATTAATGCTATCCACCTTGCATGTTTGTTTTATGTTGTCGCTTCGTTCTCTATCTAGCAGCGTTTTACTTGTGATTTTGCGGAGGATTTTCATCTCGCCTGTTTCCAAGAGTCTTTTTGTTTTTGTTGTATCCGGTCTGGTTTCTGCTGTGTAGGTCATTATGGGTCTGACGACAGCCTTGTATATTCTTGACTTGACCTCGACACCTATATATTTATTTTTACATATGGTGTCGTTTAGACATCCAGCCACTCTCATTGCTTTTGGTGTCTTACCTCTGTTTCGATATCACCATAACCGGATATCTCTATACCGAGATATTGAAATTTCATTTCTTGCTCTATTATTGTGTTATCCACGACAATCTTGCATCTGATAGGTATTTTTGATGTTGTCAGGCTCTTTGTTTTGAATGCAGAGATTATCATGTTATAAGATTTTGCTACTAGATTGAATCGATATACTAGTCTTTGGAGGTCGTCTTCATTTTCTGCGAATAGCACAGCGTCGTCGGCATAACATAGAGTTGTCATATTGCGGTCTCTCATTTTGTATCCATTTAAATGGTGCACTTATTTGATTGTTTCGTCCATGATTATATTAAAAAGAAGTGGGGTTAATGAATCGCCTTGTCGTATGCCTTTTTCTACAGGTTTGGCTTTCTCTACAATTTGATCGTATAACCTTCTTAAATAAAGATACGTTATAAATTATTATAACTTGTGCTGCCGAACATTTTGTTTTTCCAGATTGCAATTTACCCAATTAACTAAATGAAAATTAAAAGAATCATTAGTTGGTCATGGAAACGACGTTTAAAATCAGCACGATCATTAATGACTGTTCTTGTTATTTCTTTTTAACAGAAATCCATTAAGGCGTTACTGAAAAAATCCAAATTTAATGAACTATATCGTTTAAAATTATACAATACCTGGTCCGTCTCAAAAGTGGCTTATCATTACAACTTTTTTATATTTTTTTTAGAGATTATTATTCATTAGCATATATGGAAAAAGCATTTTTTACGAATAATTTGATACCACACACTTGGTATTTCGAGTCAAATTGTCGTTATGAATCGCATGTTGCAATTTCCAATAAACCATATTCGGAAATGTCAAAAGATGACATATGATATGCTTTGTGAATATAGATTTAAATTATACCCACTGTTTGGCTGTATTGGTCAAGTGCTCTAGACATTTTTATCTCGTCGGTATTTTATTTATTTAGCAGACTCTTTTATCCAGTTTCATTTATTTAGAATGTATTTCAACCCGAAAAACAGTTCGAAAAAGCAAACGACAGAAAAAAAATCTAATTAATTTTACTTTTTAACTTAATAAAGTTACGCTGAGTTTTTACGGCTATTAAGCTATCTTGTACAGGGTGGGTCAAATTCGACGCTTTTAAATGGAAACACCCTTTTCTATAGGAGATAGACGAAAACTAATATCGGTGTCTGGAGCTCAATTTTCATCAAAAACATGATGGTGAAAACCGCATATCGATATCTGTTCCCGTTTCGGAGTTACGGGGTGTTTTTCAAAAACATGCATTTTTAACAAATCACTGTAACTTTTTTGCTATGGAAAATTTTGTATTTTTATGAAAACATTTTCAAAGCACCTTTTTACGTAGAATTTAATGGTTTAAGTATGTTTTTTTTTTAAATTAATAATTTGAGAATTATTAACAAAAAATTTGATTTTTTATATGGGACACCCTGTATATTTTTAATTTTTTGAAAATAATTTAAAATTACCTTTCCAAAAATATAACGCACTTGATATGATGTTCGATTCGTCTTCGAGATATACAGTATATAAAAATTTGCCAGCTTTAAATAAGTAGGCTTTGAACGGCACCGGCTGTAATGCAAACAAATTCTAGCTGTGAGCATCAATTAAAACGAAAATAATATTTGCTATGAAAGATGCAGAATTTTATAACAATTTAAAATATATTTAACCAACATCAACACATTTAAACTATATCTAATAACAATAAAAATAAATAGCAAACTAAGACATGAGATTTTGCTCCAGGTGTTCGACATATCGACCGTCTTCTGTTATGGACAGACGGGGCAGTTTTTGAACATATCTCGCGGAATTAATTAACTCAGTGGGGTGAAAGATACCCTCTCATAACTGCTAAGTATTTCTAATTCTTGTCTAGATTATACGGAAGAATAAGGAACCTTTATTTTCCTGCAAATATATCCATAGGATTAGATCCATGGGTACTAAGTCAGGCGGCCTCGACGGCCAATGGGATCTTGGTAAGCTATTCAATTATTCTTGAAATTGGCTGCAAACATTTGCTGATAACTTCAGCGTTCAGAGGTGGTGCGTCGTCTTGCTGGAAAAATATGTTTTCGAGTTCCATTAAGGGCATATCATCAATAAGGGGTCCAAAGCCTACTAATTAAAAGTGGCAAACTTTCAAAAATTCTGTATTTCGAAGGGGATTATAACAAAATATCAAGTGTGCTATATTTTTGGAAAGGTAATTTTAAATTCTTTTCAGTTAATTAAAAATAATAAATTATTAATTTAAAAAAAATTATACTTAAACCATTAAATTCTACGTAAAAAGGTGCTTTGGAAATGTTTTCATAGAAATACAAAATTTTCCATAGCAAAAAAGTTACAGGGATTTGTTAAAAATGCACATTTTTGAAAAACACCCCGTAACTCCAAAACGGTAACAGATATTGATGTGCGGTTTTCACCATCATGTTTTTGATGAAAATTGAGCTCCAGACACAGATATTAGTTTTCGTCTATCTCCTATAGAAAAGGGTATTTCCATTTAAAAGCGTCGAACTTGACCCACCCTGTACACTTCGCACTAAAAGAAGTTCTAAAAAGAACAATTTCGACTGCAAGGTCTGCTGGTAAACATTTTTAAGCTTAAACTATCACAACACAATTCATTTCAACAAAAAAACTCGTAATGCAAAACTAAAGTGTCAAAACGAATGACAATGTCAGGAAATAAGTAAATAAATGTGGCAATTTAACATTTTTTAGAGCAGAGCTACCACCTGAATTCACAGCGGGAAATTTAAATTCCAGTTAGTTAGCACAGCGCCGAATACGCCCATGGTTGGCAACAATGAATTTAAATATCGCGCCTTCGATTACATAACTAAAAGTTTAAATTTATTATGAAATATACCAATATAACCTTAACCTCTAATTTTCATTAAAGTGTATGTATATAAATCTCTAT